TTTATCGTTCTCAATTTTCTGACATCGTTCTCTTACCAGAATCAGACAATATACAGCAAGAACAAGCTTCCCCCTACCCCACCCCACTCCTCTCTTATAACCTGCCATAATATCTAAATTTAACTCTCATTTCCACTTATATCGTGATACCTTTTGAGATGCTTATTAATCTGCAAATTAGCGTCCGAATTTTCCTCATTTTATTTGAGGGATACCTCAACATTGAATATAGTGATATAATGGCAAAAGTGATTTAATCATGAATGTCATTTTATGCAAAAAAAAAAAGAAACTGGATCAGAACAAAGCTGTCTGAAGATGTGTATTGTATGTGTAGATATGTAAATCTCTTCGGTTTTCAAACTGGTTTGTTTATTCTTATCAGATCACCACGAGCACAATTTATTAACCATGCATTCGAAGTAAGAAACCACAATTTGGGAAACCTTTACTTAGTGCTGTTTTCTCCCTCGATTTTTTTTGCAGTTTAATAATTTGAGAACAGGATATTTATGTGACACATAAATGGCCAATTCTTTCATCAATCTGAACATCTTTATGTGGATGTGGGCATTATCAAAGGATCAGTGTTAACATAAGTCAGAGAATGTTCCTTACGGTATTTTATCTGTGCACCAGGTTGAAAATAGGAGATTGGAAGTTCCATGAATTCTCTCAGGAATGACAGACTGAGATCACTTGGTTTTACTTCGTCCATGAAGATTTCGTACCTTAAATTCAAAGAGTGCATCAGTTAGTCAGACGACCGTTTCCGTAAAGGAGGGTCCTCGTGCAAACATCTGTGATCAATGAGATTTTCTTGCATTTCAACAACCGTGGCAAAAGTCCTCATCCAAGACATGAATACTGCAATTAATACTTGGTTTTCCCTTGGCGTCATTCAGCATTGGAAACAATTTGGAACTCTTTGGTCTGTTAATGTTGTGAATAAGCGTTTGCTTAGTTGTATCCAAATTCATTGCGCAGTGTTGCTTACTCACCTCTCTGCATCCACGTACAAGGCAGCCATATACTGCTGAGTACTAGTTTGCATTGAGCCACCCCAGGCTTTCTTCACTCCTGCACTGAAGCCAAATATGGAACCAGAGACGCCAGCCTGGTGTTGAAGATATGTCTGGTATTCAGCCCTGTTCTCAAAGGTCAACGTAAACGCTGATGTCTCATAAATACCATGGACATTCATGGTGTCTGGAACGTCTAGGTCATCGTAGCTGAGAAAAAAAGGGGTCAAAACTGAAGCGAAAACTGAATATAGAACTATTGAGGCAACAGGAGGGAGAGACACTCGATGATGCAGCAGAGTTTAAATGAGTCTCATTCTTACGTTGCTTTATTGACACAGTTCCTCTGGACAATGCTCATTTTTCTGGACTCTGGACTTTATTCTCCGCTACCGTCAAAACCCACACCTATGAAAGCGGCGCCATCAATCATATCCTGTCGAGGTAAATGCAATTGAAAAGTTCTCTGAAGGAAAGTTCCATGCAAATAAAATGAGAAACAGCGTTATAAAATAATTTAAATAGTACGCGCGCTCTGATTGGCCATAAAACGTATAAACCATAAAGCGTATGTAAACACTGTTTTCGTTCCTCTTTCATTAGTTATTTTATAAAAGAAATGTGATAAGCTTCGCGTCGTGGTTTCCTACGCTTATCTCGTGTTCTCCCAACCTCCCGCGTGTTTACATCAGGCTATGTAAACACGGAAACCATTTTACATTTCTTCAATATCAAAGGAGAAAGCTGTTATTTCCTTGAATGATAATTTTTCTTTCTCACCCCTTTCTCTGATTGCTCGCCTTATTTCCTTTCTCTTTCTCTTTGTTATTCTCTTTGCTTTTCTGTTCTTATTAATTTTTCTGATAAACTAATGATTTCATAATAGTTGACCAGATTGAATTTCGTTTTCTTTTTATAGATAATCCTGATCCTTAAAGTTTATTTTCATGATATTTATCCTTACCCTACATATTGACGAGTTTTCCTTCGCATTGTAACACGGATCACCAATCTTGTAGTCTTTTCCCCAACATCCGTTCATAAGAATCTGACCCACTCCTGCCGGGTATGTAAACGGAGTTTCTCCTTCTTCCACCGGAGATTTGGAGTTATCTTCAATGGAGGCATCCAGGTGATAGGCTGATGGAACAAACATGTCGTCACTTATCCAGGCCTTTTCGGGAGTAATGTCCAGCTTTATCTGAATTTAATAATTAAAAAGGTTGTCATGAAGCTGGAAGATCCTGGTTTTCGTACCTTTTGGTAAACCTGTTGTGTTCCTGGGCAAGACGCTCCAGTCGCACAATGCCTCTCGTTACCCAGAAGTGTGAGAGGCGAACTTTCAGGGATGCCAGAGGAAAGTCGTTTTAAGCAACCTGCGATGAACTGTAATCCCACTCAAGGGAGTTAAAATACGCTTTGCTGCTTCATAGTACGGAAATTTATAAAAGCTCCAGCGGTGTGAATAATCTGCCTTGCGTTTAACTTGACCAAAAAGTTTCTTAATTCACTCTACGCAAAAACTGTTTTGATCAAACTCTGTCGGTTATTGTATATAATGGGATTTAAAACATTTACAAGGAATAAGGACCCCTTAGCGACGAGTATAGGGCAAAGGGTTTACAAGTCTATAAAAGATAAGTATATCACCATACCTCCTTCTTTAAGAATTCAGCTGCTTTATTTTGTGCGTGTTCAACATTTTCTAAAGTTTTGTCAACCATTTTTCCAACGACTTCAATTCCTTTGTCTACAGCTGCTTCTTGTACTTTAGGATTCTTTAGTACGGCTAACGCTGCTGCTGGAAGTGCTCTCTTGTTTCCTGGTGCCGTCGATTGTGGCTGAGAAATCAGATTCTTTAGCTCTGTAAAAAAAGAGCATGTTAAAAAGGGACAATTTGAGACTGTCGCTATTCTCATAACAACTTTAGAGACCTTCTATGGAGAAAGTCATTTGAAGGAGCAACCTCTTTTGTCTTACTTAGTGATGACTTGGTTTGAAATTGCACTTTAAAAAAAAAAAATTGAGATTATTATAAATATTGCATCACCACTGTGTACTTTCTCAAAAAGAAGTAGAAAAAATGGCAACATTTACCAATTCCATTTCAGAAATCAGAATTTTCCAAAAATCTCCGAAGTGGCTCCTACTTTTCTAGTCAGGTGCACATAGCTCACTGATAGGTACATATGTGTAAATTTGCGATATTTAAACAGGCTGGCCAGTTAAGCGTAAAGCTGGTTTGAATGTGGGACCTGAATAAATGATAACGAGGTCAGAGCACAACACCGGGAGCTATGTTCCTTACTCTTTGCGAAAAGTATGCGGGTTCTTTAGACGTCCCCCACTAACCAGTAGAGAGACGGTGCAGGAGACCAGGCCTACGATATATCCTCCCTATCCAAAAAGCCTGGAATGTCTAACTATTTACGGATGTCATACAGCAAAGGCAGTACATTCCCCTCAGTTATTTTAAGACCCTGAGTGCAGCCCGACGCTCCACTACGTGAGCTAAAAAGTAAATCTGCTAACCAACACATGCCATATGAATTCGTACCGCTACCTCTCTTTGCAGAAGACCAGAATCTTGAGTCTTTTGATTCGGTTGGAATAAAAGACTTCACCTCCGCTGTGCTGACTTCATCTTCGGGCAAATGATATGCCCTTGTTACATCTTCTTTAAATGTGACTAAGACTGGCGGGAAAAAATACAGACTACGTATTTGTAAAGTAAAAGTCAAATAAGAGGAAATACTGCGTATGCAAGACAGCTTTAGATACAGCACGAGACAGTGCAAAATGGTGAGGGCAATAAATGAAACCACAGTCATGCTTGTGATGAAATTAACTTAAGCAAATAAGGGATGATACCACAACAAATATTACCGTATAAACAGACATTCATGGAAAGCACAGTTTCTAAAGAAAGCAAAAGAAAATTCACGTTCTGACTTAGACACGAAATTTTCGTCAATTAACAAAAAAATGTTTATCATAGACAAAGGATTTATTCCTATAGTTTTCCTCCTATTCTTTAATGCTGGATGCTATCTTTCTCCAGCGTCGTTAATAGCGCAACCGACTTGGAAATCCTGATGACGATACTTACAAAGGGCAAATAACAGCGCTGTCCGGGAGAGAAGATATCCCATACTAAATCAAGAGAATGTATGAGAATTATCCAACCTTATTATAACATGCCTTTTTCTGTTATTTCTTTTTATTTCCTCCTTTTAATATCAGCTACCTTACCAAACTGATGATGTGACGGCCTTGACTAACCAATCGCTGATAAGAGAAAAGGCTTGCAAATTTCAAATGACACCTGTAATTACCTTATCACCCTGCTGTCTCCACCCGGCAGGGCGATAAGGTCATTACAGATGAATAGCAAAGTAATACCATCTTACAAACGGGTACCTACAGGTATGCTTTGCCATAGATTCCTTAATGTGATGTGGATAAGGATATTATCTACATTTATTACACAGACAATCATGAAAAACCAGAAACTCTTCTGTTTCGGAAACATGATATATTAAATTATCTAACGTAACATTTACATCTTCACAAGATGAGTTAAAACTGTGAGAGAGGGAAATATTTTTTGCAAAGATAACTAGTGTTATACGTAACTCAGAATTTGACGGACATTTTCTGTAAGCTGAGTTTATGTGAAGGCGATCTCTGAATTCATTGTCTACATGTACTCAAAATCTATCAAATAAACAGAGAATGACAAGTCCACCTAGGGATATGAATTTATCTTCTCGTATTTATTTGTCTCTCCCGCTCGTGCGCTTTGCTCACTCGTAAGAGATATTATCGACGTTCAAAGAAAACATTCGTATCTAGGCGTAGCCTCGCAATATGCTCTATAAATGACCTAAAACATTTAACAAACCATCATCATGAAAATTAAGGTCAGATGGTTTTGACTTCAGAAGAATAGAAACTCCGAATCATTCATATAGTATTGTAAGCGACATGCCGGCCATTGCCAAGTCTAAAGAAATGTGTGATCGGCAGGGAGAGATAAGATAGGAAATGCCAAATTTAGAAAACAAAAATTGCAAGGTTAAATGAAGTTTTCATTAAGAACTGTTTACTTTCAGAGAGCTGAAACCAAGCGTTCCCAGAGGAATCTTTTCTTATTTACACACCAGCAAAGATGAATTATTAAACACGAAGGGAGCCAAAGACAATACACCACCTTTTGAAAAAAATTATTGCAAACAGAGAGTCGGATTAGAAACGGGTAACTGTTATTCTTTCATAAGTCATTTGAAAGTCGATTGAATTCCTTTCCACCTCAACAACACCTCACCTGAACAGTGAAAATGAAAATAGGAAACGTAGCGATCGGGAGCAGAGATCTACTGGTAATTATTATATGAAAGGTACGGCCTCGCGCGCAGTCCCGTAGCAAACCATAGTAAAGTGTTCAGGGCTGGACAAGTTGACGTGAGCCAGTCCGGAAAAAAGCCGTCAGGCCCTGCACAAATGCTTGTAAAGTAAGTCACACAGAAAAACGGGCTGTTGCAACAAAATTGGTAAAGAGCGAAAATTGTCTTCAGGGTTAGTAAATGATGATTTATTGACTGTGAGTCACCACAAGACCTTAGATAAAAAAGGTGTTCTCCGAGAGTCGAGACTACATGTGTGAAACAAGCGAGACTTTTAAAACTAAAATGAG